ATAAATGATATCTGAAAAATTATTTTTATCTAAGCTACAGCTATATCTTTACTTCAATTAGAGTAACTTTCATGGCTGTAGGTCATCTACAACCTGAATGGGAAGAGAAAGAAAAAAAAAAACGTTTCCTCACACCTGAGCTTCTAATTGAGCTAGCTGCAGCAGGACACTGTCACCCAGCTTTCTGGTGCTTAAAATGTCCTCCGAACAAACGACTGCTGAGCAAAAACCGTATGAGTTATTCAAAAAATTCTTTCACCGTGAGCGTCAGCCATCCTTCGACTCCAACTATGCCAACTTTGGTGTATGTGTGTCTTTCAGAACAATATTTATGACGAGTTTAAAACACATAATGTCATTCGTTTTTCTCCCCTCTGCTGTTCCAAAACCAATGAAAAACGGCTCTGATTTTCATCGACTTGAGGTCGGTCTGGAGGGTTTTTAAGGAAAAGTATTAATCCTACCGTAATTCCGAAGACATTGTGTGGGTCCAGAGATTTCAGTCTACAAACTGACCAAAAATGGTGACTCTAGCTATAAATATGTGGCCGTGAGGGCGAGTTTAAAATGTTTTTGGGTCTTAAAAAAACGGCTGCCTCACACTCTAGCTTTTCAGTCTCTCCACTCTAGAAGGCTGGATTTTGCCAAAACTTTGTGGCGCTTGAGGTCTGATTATACAAAAACCGTAGCAGTTATCAACATGCCGTCTTCAGTTTTATGCAGACGAAGGATTTATCTACAAACTGAGCTTTAAACTGTTTTTCTACGTGAATGTATGCCAACACAGTGAAGCGCTGTTTTTTATGCTGTTTTTTTCCTCTCCCCATTCATTTCCTATGGGAATTTTTTGCGACGTTTTCGCTAATAATTCGCAAACCTTCGGACTAATGAGAAAGTTTTATACAAGCACGCATCGCCCCATTGGTCTCTACGCGTGTGCCAACTTTGGGCCCGATCCGACGAATGGTGCGTGACTAGTTACGCGCCGAAGTTTTTGGTGGCGAGGAGAACTATAAGCTATAATAAAAATAATACGCGGAATAAATATGTGAGATAGTAGTAGGTGGGCCATGCCTTCGGCATGTGGCCCCCCTAACTAGAAAATTTCTAAAGAAATTTTGAGGGGGGCCACCTACTGCCCGTCTGGGTAACTGGGCCAATACGGCCCTGGCAAGTGACATTGGGGCTCCCCAGACCAACTGCTTACGCCTTTGAGGGCTGCTGAGGGAAGGAAAGAGGGCTAGGTCATGGGCAAAGAGAGCTGTGTGCCACTTGTGCTGAAATCTGGGAAATAGACGTGCACAGCATATGATGCACAAGGGTAATATGGGTTGTCCATATTGAACCGCAGTGGGTAAAGCGCAGTTGGCGGGCTCTGCCCGCCTGCTAGGAGCCCTTGCAGCGATGAAAAAAATCACCAATGGCGGGCTCCGCCCGCCTGCTAAGAGCCATTGCAGTGATGAAATCACCATTGGCGGGCTTCGCCCGCCTTCTAAGAGCCATTGCAGTGATGAAATCACCAATGGCGGGCTCCGCCCGCATGCTCAGAGCCATTGCAGTGATGAAATTACAAATGGCTATGAGCAATATGCCAGAATGTATGAGTGTGTATAAGGAAGAGGCTTTTATTCTGTAGAGTCCCTGTAGTGTTATTTTGAAAGTCTATCATGGATGTGCATCAAAAGATGGGTCATGCCCAGCAGTGATATAGAATCCATTTCCAAATGTTAAATCACTGGTTTTCCATGTTATTAGGTGAATAGCTGCTGTATTACAGAGTAAATGGGAGACTTTTATTGTGAAATTTGCTCTGGGGTGTGTTTTGAAAAGGTCACTAGAGTCTAATAAAAACAACCTGGAAGAGTTTGGGTCATAATGTTGAGCCATTTGCATCAATTATTGCATTAGTATAATCTAGAGGCTTTTATTTTGTAGGGTCCCTGGAGTCTTATTTTGAAAGTCCAACAGAGTTGTGTTTAGAGAAAATGTTCAGACCCAGCAATGATAGTTGATGACTTTCCAATCGTTAAATCACTCTTTTTTCCATGTTATTAGGGCAGTAGATGAAGCTGAAATGGGAGGCTTTTATTTTGAAATTTGCCATAGGGTGTGTTTTAAACAGTCTCCTAGAGTCTATTCTCTAAAATGGGGTTGAGTTTGGGTCATAATGTTGAGCCATATAGGGCAATAAATATATGTAAAAAATATAGAGGCTTTTATTTTGTAGGGTCCCTGGAGTCTTATTTTGAAAGTCTATCAGTGTTGAGTGGCAAGGGAAGTGTCATGGACAGCAGTCATATAGTATCCATTTCCCAATGTTAAATCAGTGCTTTCACCCTCCATTAGATTAATATGTGCTGTTTAAAACAGCAGAGGTAAAATCTCTTTGAAGCACGGTTACCTTGACAACGCTTAACGAGCCTGTCAGTGACAGAGAGAAAAGCGCAGCACTATCGTTCCTTAGCTCTCAGGCTTTTTTGAATGGGAGGAACAGCTGCTGAACAAACGACTGCTGAGCAAAAACCGTAATAGGTATTAGAAAAATTCTTTCAGTGAAAGAAACATCTATCCTTTGTCTCAGACTGGGGTAACCTTCATGTCTGTAGGTCTTTCACAACCCAAAACGAAGCACAAACAAAATGGCTGATCCCACCTGCTCCTCCCTTTGTTTAAACTGCAGCACCACACTCTGTCACCTTTAAGCTGCTATAGCACCCCTCCGAACAAACGACTGCTGAGTAAAAACCGTAAAAGGTATCTGAAAAATTATTTTTATCTAAGCGACAGCTATATCTTGTCTTCAATTGGAGTAACTTTCATGGCTGTAGGTCATCTACAACCTGAATGGGAAGAGAAAGAAAAAGAAAAAACGGGTCCTCAGTCCTTAGCTTCTAACTGAGCTAGCTGCAGCAGGACCCTCTCACCCAGCTTTCTGGTGCTTAAAATGTCCTCCGAACAAACGACTGCTGAGCAAAAACCGTATGAGTTATTCAAAAAATTCTTTCACCGTGAGCGTCAGCCATCCTTCGACTCCAACTATGCCAACTTTGGTGTATGTGTGTCTTTCAGAACAATATTTATGACGAGTTTAAAACACATAATGTCATTCGTTTTTCTCCCCTCTGCTGCTCCAAAACCAATGAAAAACGGCTCTGATTTTGATCGACTTTAGGTCGGTCTGGAGGGTTTTTAAGGAAAAGTATTAATCCTACCGTAATTCCGAAGACATTGTGTGGGTCCAGAGATTTCAGTCTACAAACTGACCAAAAATGGTGACTCTAGCTATAAATATGTGGCCGTGAGGGCGAGTTTAAAATGTTTTTTGGTCTTAAAAAAACGGCTGCCTCACACTCTAGCTTTTCAGTCTCTCCACTCTAGAAGGCTGGATTTTGCTAAAACTTTGTGGCGCTTGAGGTCTGATTATACAAAAACCGTAGCAGTTATCAACATACCGTCTTCAGTTTTAAATAGACGAAGGATTTATCTACAAACTGAGCTTTAAACTGTTTTTCTACATGAATGTATGCCGACACAGTGAAGTGCTGTTTTTTATGCTTTTTTTTGCTCTCCCCATTCATTTCCTATGGGATTTTTTTTGCGACGTTTTCGCTAATAATTCGCAAACCTTCGGACTAATGAGAAAGTTTTATACAAGCACGCATCGCCCCATTGGTCCCGACGCGTGTGCCAACTTTGGGCCCGATCCGCCAAACCGTGCGGGACTAGTTACGCGCCGAAGTTTTTGGTGGCGAGGAGAACTATAAGCTAGTATAATACGCGGAATAAATATGTGAGATAGTAGTAGGTGGGCCATGCCTTCGGCATGTGGCCCCCCTAATAAATATGTGCAATAGTAATAGGTGGGCCATGCCTTCGGCATGTGGCCCCCCTAATAATAATAATAATACGCGGAATAAATATGTGCAATAGTAATAGGTGGGCCATGCCTTCGGCATGTGGCCCCCCTAATAATAATACGCGGAATAAATATGTGCAATAGTAATAGGTGGGCCATGCCTTCGGCATGTGGCCCCCCTAATAATAATAATACGCGGAATAAATATGTGCAATAGTAATAGGTGGGCCATGCCTTCGGCATGTGGCCCCCCCTAAAAAAGTTTTAAAAAATGAAGTTCCTGTATCGGCATTAATGTTTTTAGGGTTATGTTTTATCAAAATATGCGTTTGTTCTTTTATTCCTGTCTGTGTTTCACAAATTTCTTATAGAAGCTCTAGTTGGATTTTCTTTTGGTTATATAATTTTGGTAATTTTTTATACCACATCTTTTTTTACTTCCACTTAACTTTCTATTATTATTATCTTACTATTTTCTTGCATATAGCCAGTTTCCGTAGCAATGACTCTTGATGACTTGCCCACATGGCTCACACTGGTAGTGCTGAAGGGAGTTTTCCTCTCCATTGTCATTGCATGCTTGCTTGGTGTGAGGGATTGCAGAGTCATTGACTCGATGCAATGAACTGGTTTTCCTTAGATAGAAAACTTCGAATTTGACTGTATGATCTGGTTTAATTGTAAAGTGCCAAGAAATGACATGTGTTGTAAATTGGGGCTATATAAATAAACTGAATTGAATTGAACTGCCCTTCTGTGGATGGGTGGATACAGGAATTACAAAACTCCATCTGAATTAGTGTTACGCAACATTTTTGTTCAGAGTTTTTAAAAGATGATATCCTAAGTAATCACAGCTCAAATTTTAATTTCAATAAATGTGCAATAAACCAAACTTTTATTACCCAGAAACATAACCTTCCATTTTTTGTGAATTACTGAAAAAGTTAATTTGTCTAATATTTGATTTACTGACATGTATGATGGTATGTCAGACAGCCAAAAAAAAACAAAAACATTTCAAAATATTACTTTAATCCGATGAGAATATATTCACATCCGAAAATAAATAGTGAAAATAAAAAAAGAAATACTAATCAGGTACTTTTTCAATGGAAATTTGCAGGTTTAGTTTATTTGTCACCTCTTGACTAAGTTTGGTCCATCTTCCTTCACACTGGTCCAACTTATCCTGCCCCCACAGGGCCAGTCCTGGGACTGCTGATGCCTGCACAGACTTTACATTTTCTTCCATCTGCATTAGTGAACGTTTCATCTGCTCCATCTCACTCACATACTCCTAGTTCAGAGAAAAGAAAAGGGTTTACAGAGATGTCTATAAACAAATTATCCATGAATAAATTGGGCAAAAATAGCCTTTGCTTAACAATATTAGTGTTTTTTGTTTTACAGTGTGTGCCCTCATAATGGTGTCAAGTTCCTTCTATACATCTACTGACCAGTAAGGCTAGAAATATACATTGTTTAAACAAATGGACAGAAACTGACAATAGATCCTAGTTTGATAAATCAGTTGTAAAAATCAAAAGGAAATTGTTTATTCTATTTATTATCTATATACCTTGCACTGATTAAGTTCTGCCTGCAGATTCTCTGCATCACCCAGGCCGGAGGCGTCCTTAGACAACAGCTCCTGCACGGCATCCAGCCAACGCTCCACTTGCTCTAAACGTACCTGAAATCAAAGAGGTAAAAACACATCTATACATGGAGGAAAAAATAAAAACACCAAGAGCAATAAACCAGCTTATCTACCTGGTTGTCCTTCATGCTTCCCAGAATGCACTGCAGCATGCCATGCTCCTCACGAGCCCTTGATGAGAGCTGGCTCCATTTCTGTAGTTCAGCCGGATCGGTTGCTTGTTGTGTTTGTTCAATTTCCAAACACAGGCCCTGAAAAATGTACAAAAGATCAGTCAGGACATTTAAAAATGGTTCCAAAACTAGAAAAAATGCTGAATGGATGGCGTTCCTGCTTGTTTTCATGAGAAATACATAACTTTTGATATTCCTAAGATCTTAAACATTTATTCAATATATAAAACACTAAAGACCATCATAAATCTATGGCAGATATTTCTACAATTAGTATAAGTAAGTAAGTAAGGAAGTAAGGAAGTCTTCAAGTTAAACTACTTTTATATGCTCTCACTGGACTTTTTTCCGCCCTAATTCAAACCAGGATTTACAACCCTTCTTTAATCAATTTTTCCAAGTTAAAAGATATTCATAATACTCTCCTAAATTTAGCAGTTCTAAAAATGGTAGTAAAAGACAGAATTTCTGAAACATTTATCTGCTTTATCGGAAATAATGCTATAAGTGATTACATTCTTAGATTCCTTAATCACTAAACTCACGTCTTTGTTCTTCCTGCAATTTTATTCGGTGTGAGATAGATTTATGAGCCTAGATTTTCAACGTATTGTAAAAACTGACTCATAAAATCTGAAAGCATGATTTAAAAAATGTCACAAAAGGAAAAACAAATGTGTTTAATTTTCAGTAATTGTTTTAGAAATGCTTAATTAACAACACGTGTAGAAACAAATGTGAATAAAAAAAAAAAAAGTTCTAATAATCATTGACATCTCCTCTCAGACGAACAGCTGAATGATCTCTGCGATGCTGTCATTAGCCTGTATGTTGCGTCTGGCAGGCTCCACATGGAGCTGTGTGCTTCATGCACAGGCACGCAGCCCAGAATGTGTCACCTCCCCACCCCTCCCCACCTCTCCCATGCACGCCGTCCTATCTGCCACAACAACAAGAGTGCAGACTGAGCCACATTCCACTGACAATGGGGGAGGAGACGAATGTTCAGAATGCAAAAACACACACATTACAAAACATATGTTTATGTGAAAAAAAAAAGCATAAGAGGCACGTTCACACACACACACCACCCTTTACCTGTTGCGCAATTTAAAACTGTGATAAGAAGACCTATTGTGTGAAGGTAACCACAGGACAGGCAAACAATGACGCTTAAGTGATGTACTGGTTACTCACAGAGTAAAACAAAACTGCAAAAAAATATCTGCAGATTTCAGTCATGTCAGCATATAAAACCTGCAAATCTGCAGCTTACCTTGTTTATACATTCTATAACATAATCATTAGAAGAGAATAAAAAATAAATAAATAAATAAATAAATAGAAAAACATGAAATTAAGAAAACAAAGATGCAATTTATTGTTTTCAACAAACTCTGCATTTCAGCTTCATTATCGAGGGTACCCACCTGGGCTCGCTCCACTGCCCCTTCTGCTGTATGCATGTCTACGATCCCTTCTTTTAACGCAGCCAACCTGGCCTCCAGACCCTGCACTGCATCCTGAGCCACCTGGGTGGCTTCAACACCGGCCAAGGCTTGAGAAAAATGAAAGGACATCTAAGTTTTCAGAAGATTAACAGAGGGGAAAGAAATAAAACACAATACTGCCTTAAAATACTAACCCTTTTGTAAAAGGTTATTAAATAACCAGAGTTGTCTGTTTTGTATGATTTCCACTTTAAGGTTGGATGATGAATATTTAACATCACACGTCTTTCCGCACTTCCTGCTCTGCTACATAACTGTCTCCCCTGCCTCCTGTTTCATTGCCTGTTAATTACCAGGTGATTTAATGCTTCCATAATCGACCCGTGTTTACACAGAGAGGAAGGGAAAGTTAAAGATAGAGAGGCCCCCACTAGAACCAGACTACCCTCAAGTGGAAACAAAATAGATTTACTAAAGACTGTGCCAAGAAAGCAGGCTTTAAAAGCTCAGAGGCACTGCAAACCACACACTTAAACAGACTTATGTTCAAGAGGGTATTCAGGTCTTCCCTTATGGGATAATATCTGGCTGAGATCAGCAAACGCTGGTTCAAGAATTCAAATACCGACTGATTTCCAGAACTGGTTTGTATCGAACTTTTATTTTCAGGTAGAAACCAGCCAAAAGACGTTTAAGTTATAATAGAATTCAGGCATGCCGTTGTAAATCAGTGAGTATCAAGAGACCATATATGGGCATGAGCTATTATTACCTCAGACCAGACGATAATTTATTTTAAAAAAGCCGATGTTAAATTTGCGTAGCTCCTGTGTGGCTGTAATGATGTTAGATATTATGAAATCTCTGGTTTAAGATCACAGATAAAGAAAAGATATTTGCTGTAATGAGGGATATTTATTTTGAAACAGAAGATCAAGAATGGCTTAAATCTGACTAATCTGTTCTAAAAACTAACTGGCTTAGTGTTTGAAAGATGATTTTGGCCCTAAATGAAGTAACATTTTATCCTGTACTCATACCCTTTTTCCCCCTTACAATTATTCAGGACCGGGTTGTGGCGGCAGCAGTGTCAGCAAGACCCCAGACTTCCTTTTTTTTG